CAAATCGCCTCCACTTCAGCTGTAGCTACATTCTCTTAAAATGGCCTGCAGGCATCATTTTTGTATGACAACGCTGAAAAAAAGGAGAAAGCTGTGCTTGCAACACAACTGATAAGCCTCTGCTATAAACAGGCACCCATACTGAAGCTGGTACCAAGTGTGGTGTACTGGAGAGAGTCATGGAGTAGGACTCAGGAGACCTGGATTCAGTTCCCTGCCAATGCCATGGAAATGCACATAAGAACGAAAGGACATAATTTTTTAGAGAGCTTCTTTTGTGGGGGGTGAAGATGTTCTCAGCAAAGCTGATTCCTATGACAGTGCCTCCCCCCAAACCATCAATCATCATAGTAGGAAACATGGCATGGGGTGTTATACAAAATGAGGGAGCCAGGGAACATCCCTCATGTCTTTTTGTTAGTGTTTGTGTTTGAGAAAGAAAGAGAAACTTGTGACTCCTTTCGAAAAGCACATTCTGATGGGCTGAATATGTCCAAGCTGATGGGTTTAAGTCAAGGAATTTTGCTGCTTGAGTCAAAACAGCAAACAACACCCCTGGTCACTTATGTCAAAGGGGTGTCAAATTACTTTGCCACATGGGGGAAAAATAAAATTTATTTCCCTATCCCAGATATTGAAAATACATTAATACAAAACTATGTGTTTTGCTGTATTAAAGGAACACCCTCACAATCTCTAATGAGAGGAGGATCCCTACAGGTGCTCCACCAGAGAGGACAATTTAAGATAATAAAATTAACCCCACTTCTTTGATTGTGCTAATAATAATTGATGAGAGGCATACATGATTAAATGCTTGCACACAGCTAGGTATGAAGTGCATGAATAAAGTATGAATTTGTTAATAGCCTCAACAGCCATGAAAGCTGAAGGAAAATTAAAAAGCCAGAAGTAGACAGGTAATTACTCATTTTCAATTACACACAATTAATTAATTACTCATTTTCTTCAAATACTTATTTCATGCATATTTTCATCAATGAGTAACTAAGTTGCATCTTACAAAATAGGGAAAGATTTTGCTGATAGTACATGAGTTGAATATGCACAAATCAAAAATATGTGAAGTCAAATAATGGCTCTAGCACTCTTCTACATATATTTTATGGAATACTGTATCCAGTTTTTAATATGCTAACGACAAGAAAATTTAAAGAGGCCATATTTCAAATTCATGTGTCTAAAAAAGCAACATCTAGGGTTTTGCCATAGCTGCAAACCATAACAGCCACAATGTGTGTCTATACACCAAAGGTCTAAGTCCATGAAATGCAGACATCTGAAATTTATTTATTTACAATATTTTTTTTTGCATGCATAGTAAGGGAATCTTGTGAATGTGAGTCCTGAGGTTATTTGATTCTTAAAACAATTTTTAAAAGTATTAATTGTAATCAGTGTAATTTTTTCTATAGCCAACTGTATCATATTAATTCACTAGGTAGCAGATATACATTCTATGGAAGAATGTATAGAGGTAGGAGGCACCTCTATGGCAAGAAATCTTAAGATGTGGTCCAAATGCTGTAAAAAACCTTCCAAAACGGCTGAGGGGATGCTTACAAAGGCATCCCACACTCCACTCACACAGCTCAGAGACAATGTGTTCAGTTTTGACAACTCCAAAACATTGATTGAAGGCTTCTATATATTATACTACAAGTACCATTCTAACCTGTATGAAGCTGGACCCTTTCAGTATCTAGACAGCATCTAGATAGTATTCATCCAGGCTCTAAACTCTGCCCAATTTTTCCAGAAATCCAGATCCTTTAATCCAGGGGTCTCAAACATGCGGCCCGGGGGCCAATTGCGGCCCGTGGGATGAAAGTTTGTGGGCCCCACCTTAATTTGAAAGTTTAAGGAGCAGGAGCGGCGGTGGTGACACCTACTTGGCGAGCATGGGGCTACCTCCCCGCCTCATAGGGGCTGGGTCCCGCCTGCCCCCCTGAAGCGCCCACATGTCCAGAAGGGGAGCCCTCTCTCTGCCCAGCAGTCTTCTCCCTCAGGGGTTTGGCGCCACCAGGGCTTCTGCTTCTAGGTCTCTGTCACTCTCTGTCTCTTCCCCCCGCTCTTCGTGGGTCACCTGGTGAGGCTGCTGCAGTCGCCACGTCCCCTCTGCGCTTCTCCTTCCCCCTGCCTGGCGCTCCTCCACTCCCTGCCCAGACGTGCCGTGCGAGGGATGCTGCCGAGAGAACAGCCTGCTCGCACGTGCTCCCCTCCCCCGGTCTCCCTAAGCCACACTGGGCAAGACCACGGCATCTTGCCAGAGTGGGAGTCAGGAAGCCCTAGGAAGCCCCATTAGCCCTTGGGTAGGGGGGAGAGATTACTCCGGCGATGTAATCTGCAGAGTAATCCCTTGCAGAAGGGCTGCATGCAGCTGCTAGAGGGTGTGTGTGTGTGCACAGGGAGTCGGGGGGGGAGAGAGAGAGACCTAAAAGCAGAAGCCCCGGTTGCGCCAAACCCCTGAGGGAGAAGACTGCCAGGCAGGGAGAGGGCCCCCCTTCTGGATGCAGAGAGCCACATTTCAAATTTTTGCAGACCCCTTCTCCTTTGATGTGCAAGATGCCCCTCCTGTGCTTCAAATGGAGCTCATTGACCTGCAGTGCAACTCTGAAATGAAAGCAATGAGTGGAACAGCAGAAAAGCTTGGGCAGTTTTTGAGAGAATTGATCTCCAGCTTCCCTGAGCTTTCCCGAATGTTCAAGCGGACCATGTGCCTTTTTGGGAGCACATACTTGTGTGAAAAGCTCTTCAACACCTACAGGTCCAGACTGACTGATGATCATCTTCAAGCCATAATGAGGGTCTCAACTGGTTCCTCCCTCAAGCCCAATGTGGCTCGGCTATGAAAGAGGAAGCGCTGCCAGGTCTCTAGCAGCAAGAAGTAGGCAAGAGAAGCCGTGTTCAGAAGAACAGTTCATGTTCAGGATTGTTCATGTTTAGAAGAAGATTAAAAGTTAAAGAACTGTTAATGCAGACATTTGAATCTGAATACAGCAGATATAGAAGATGAAGAAACCCTATATAGTCACTCACTAGAGAAATATTTTATTATTGTTGTTGTTATTACTACTACTACTACTGATTGATTGATTGATTTGTTTTCCTATTAATTCTTAATTTGTTTATTTTTTCATCTTATTTTGTGTTTAAAAAATAAAGAGATTTGAGAAGATTGGAATTTTTTAACAAAGCTTTTCTTGTGGAAAATCTGATGCGGCCCAGCCTCATCCAGACTCTGCTTCCAGCGGCCCCCAGGTAAATTGAGTTTGAGACCCCTGCTTTAATCATTCCTTGAAATGCCAATTCTTTGAACATAATGTACACTCTCTAGCAGAAAAAAATCAATTTAATGGCTGTTGGTCACATTCACATATTATGCTAAGCCTAGAAGTTAAAAACATTTCTTCTCTGGCCTCCAACTCTAAGAATCCCAACCATATGTCCTCTTCATCCGTGCCCCTTGTAAATGAATGAGGCAAGCCAAAGGGGTTTGTCTGGGTAGGTCTAGGTTGTGGCAATTGCTTTACACTTGAAGAGATTGTTGTGTGAGTATTTGTATAGAAACTGTCACCACCACCACCCCCCACACGGTCCTATGATTTATGAAAACTACGGCCTGCTTTCAAATATGCCTTTCTGGTGGAAGATCCTTGAGAGGCTTGTGACAGTGCCACTGCAGGTATTTTCAGATTCCACTGATTATCTAGGCCCATTTCAGTATGATATCATGAGTGCATTCAAAGCTGAATCAGCCTTGGTTGCCCTGCTGGATAACTTTAACAGAAGAGGGACAGGGGAAGAGCAACTGTGTTATTCTTGTTTGATTGCCAAATGGGTTTTGATGCCATAGGGGCAGCATCCTTCTGGATCAGCCCTATGAGTGGGTGGGAGCACTGCATTCCTATAGTTCTGGTCTGCAGGGGAGGCGACAGAGCATAGGTAGCATGATGAATGCAGTAGGGAGGACTCTAGACAGTTGTACTATTTCTCAGCCATCTCAACTTCTGCATTAGGAGCTGAATAGAGGTACAGTATAATCATTTCCCCAACACAGTCTAATAGCTATGTGAAGCAGTTGGGAAGGATCCTCAGGAGATTTGGAACAAAGTTTCACTGCTATGCTGATGACACTCAACTTTATTTCTCTGCAACTTCTGAATGAAGGACAGCTCTGCATGTTCTAGACCAGTGCATGGTTGCAGTGATGGGCTGAATGACAGCCAATAAGCAGAGGCTGAATCCTGGCAAGACAAGTACCTAATGTAAGAGTGGTTTCCCCATCCAAGACATAGGCTGACCACTTCTTCTACATGGACTTGCATTCCTTCCAAGAATCAAGTGTGCAACTTGCAGTTACTTCCGGGTCTGGTTTTGTCTCTAGAGGCTCAAATGGCTTCTTTGGCTTCAAGTGTCTTTTATCAACATCAGCTGTTAAACCAGCTGTCAGCAGTTAGACAGAGCTAGCAAGGTTACAATGGTCCAAGCACAGGTAACATCAAGGATGCTTTATTCGAGTGTTGCCTGGGACTACCCCTAAAGCTGGTCTGGAAACTGCAACTAGTGATCTTTCGGTATGCTCTGGACAATCTTCATTTCCTTAATCACGCAGCACTTGAACTAGACAGCTCATGCAACTTTTTCCAACTCTCTGAACTCTATGAAATCTGCAACTAGACATACTGGGGCATTAGAAAGGGGTAGTGATGGCCAACAGTGGTGAATGACAATACAGAACTGAGCAAAAAAATGAAATACTTGCAATCACAAGCAGAGCTACATGGGAAATGAAAGCCCTTAATCAAAGTAGAATATGTTGAGTGAACTCTCGTCCAAATATGTCATTAAGTTGGCGGAGAAACACTTCATTCTTGAAAGCATTCCCAAGGTATAAAAGGATAGTGATGAAATATAATAGTAATACTATTATTATGTAAGAAAATAAAGAGATGCATTATTTTTTAAATTAACCATACCTTTAACTGTGCTTGAAGTGAAGCTGTTTCCAAATTCTTGCTGCTTTGGCTTCAAAAACGATGGTGCTGTCATCCCTGGAGGTTGTGGGACTTGAAATAAAGGCTTCCCATTTGCAACCATTTGTCTCCTGGGACTTAAAGCAGGGAAGTGAACACTGGAATCAATAATGTTACTTTGAGGGGCCACACCTCCTCCAACAGATCTCTTTAAGTGTGACTTGGTGGACAGGTTTCCAATAGCTGGGCTTGGGGTGCAACTGTTAGAGGAAGAGGGAGGAGGTCCTGCATTAACTCTGATTGGTGGGATCTGCAGTCCATTTACCATCCCAAGCCTATGAGAAGTACTCATTGTCCGGTGGCTCATATTGCATGACCTCACATTCATTGTCAAATGGTCGCACTCCTAAAGATGTGCAATACAAATCCCCAAATAGCGAACACATCAGTCCAGGTTCAATAAGATATCCATAGTGCATTGAGCCTGTTATAAAGGAAAGAGAACATAATAAAAAAAAACATACTGAAATAAAATATGACAAGTTTAAGCAATGCTTTGTGTTTAAATACATTGGGGAAGGGATATTGATTGTGTGAACATCAAAGAAGAAGCAATCACAGAGCTCTGGGGAGAATGATAAATGATTACTGTGAGCTATAATGAAGGGAAATCGTGCCCCTTTGAAAGCAGAAGTTAACAGTGAGGTCAGCTACCTTTGTGCTAGTTAACCAGCCATGAAATGGAATGAACAGTTAGCGACTGAAAGAAGCCAGCCTAGAAAGAAATCACAACTGCGGGCTGGAAACTCTCACTGTGTCAAGCATCTGTCTCCTATTCTTTCATTTCTACCTTGTACTAATTCAAAGAAGGGAAAAGAAAGCATGCACAGCTGTTAAGCAGCACTGGGACACAGGCCAATTATGAAATCAGCCCCCGTTTACATTTTGAGCGCCAGGAACAAAATAAAAGAAGAAAGAATTAGAACAATTATATTTATATCTACCAGTAAAAGGTAAATTTAAGAAAACAAGTGCAATGAAACTTAAAATAAAATGTAGTATAAACATGGTCATCACGTGTCCCTTAATTAAATTCTTAAATATGTTAATCCTATAGTTGGCATTAAAAAAGCTGGCTGGGTAGCTTAGTAGTTTAGGTATCTGGATGTGGAGCTAGAGGTTGGGAGTTCAATTCCGCACTGTGCATCTTGCAAAAAGAACCAGCCTGTTTAGCACTGGACAAGCTACACAGTCCCAGAGCGCCCCCAGAAGAAAGGAATGGTAAACCACTTCTGTGTATTCTCCAGCTAGAAAACCCTGTAAAGGGTTGCCATAAGTCCAAACTGACTTGATAATGTACAATTATTATTAATCATTACCACGGACTAAAAATCAATATCTCAACCATGATCATATTATTGTGCTTAGTATATTAGGGCTGGGCCCACTATCCATTGATACACAGGTTCCCTGCAGGCAGTAATTTGTAACCAAAGGCTGTGTTTATAAGAGAAAAATTAGTAAACAAATCAGAAAGATGCACTAGGTCTGTGAGCATTTACACTTGTGCTCAGAGCCATAATTAGGACAGGATGTGAGTGAAGCTTTGCCCCAGGGCACCAAAATTAGAGGGTATGGCCCTTCCCCAACCACCCGTGGCAAAGGCATTCCCAACCAATGTCCAATATTGCCACAGCAGCCTTGTCTATCACCATGAGAAATGACAGCCAAGTCAATGGAGGGCCATGCTCTTCTTTTTAAAAAAAGAGAGATGGTTTTCCTTTCTATTTCTGGTGTCGCTTGTGAGCACAAGGGCTAGAATCCTCTTGCGCCATTCACAAGGTATAGCCAGTTTTGTTCCATGATCTCACCTTGCAATTACACAAGTGGAGATTGCCCCACTTGCTTCAGTGGAACTTAGGCTTGTGAAAGGAAGTACTGAATACCTCCAACACAAGCTCCAAGAAAACATCATCACTCACATAATGGAACTTTTGCACAACAATAAGGGGGCAATAGGGTTCCAGACCATGAATAGGTTTCTTCCATGAATTATTTACTTATTTAACTCCACTTTCCTCCCCAAAAACTGAGCCCCAAGGCAGTTTACAATATATATATATACAGTGGTGCCTCGCTTAGCAATTGCTTCATTTAACGATGTATTCGCTTTGCAATGGGTTTCTTTGAGGAATTTTCAGCATCGTTTAACGATGTTCTCTATGGGGGAATTTCACTTAACGATGTCCGTGTTTGCTCATTTTTAAGTGTCTTACAATGTTTGTGGAACATGTTTTAAATGGTTGGAATAGTTAGTCCACCTTGTGAAACCTATGCACACTTAGTTTGGCTTTCTTCTGAGTCTTCGTTAATTTTTGGTGATTTTTTGTTTTGTCCCTCATTGAAAGGGAAACAGAAGAAATCTTTCACACAAATGAAAAAAATATGAATGAGCTCAAGTGTGGATATTCGTGATGATGATGACGACACAAAAATCAAAGCAACAGTGTGCTCCAGGTTTGTATTGAGTGTTATCAAGAAGATGAGTTTGCAAATGTTCCAGAACTCTTCAGGTATAATTAGAGGAATTGTCAATGAATGTGTGAAAACATCAGCCACAATGACATTTTGAAAAAATAGTTGTCCTCTCCTCATTGCAACCACTTCTTGCCCCTACACAGCACAATGGCTGTCATCTGTTATTCGCTGGAAGTTCTTTGACCAACCCTGGGCATTTGCTTTAGAAGACTGTGAGACTCAGGGTCAATCAGCTGCTCAGAACTAGTGATGGAACAAAACCCTCTACAGAATGGCTCTTAATTTGGCCAGCGACTTGGGTCTGCTTGGGGATGTCTAAAATACAGTAAGGAATTGGGCCTAAGCCCAGTATAATATGTTGAGACAATAACCATTTTGCATGCTTTCAAACACTGGATATCAGTGGGAGGGAAGTTTTTAGGACCTACAGAGATTCCCTCTGCTACTAACCTTTGCTAAAATCGTCCCCTCATCTCTGGCTTGTCTCCCCACCCCACCCCATTTTTTCCTATTTGTTTGCTTCACTTCCTTTCTTTGCTTGTCTCTCTCCTCTTTTCTGACCTCTGAGCATGGAATCATGGAGGGATCTCTCTCACCTATGCAGAATCAAATTTTCCTACTATTTCTACTAACTATAGATAGCAAGTAAAGATACTATTTTTTTTTCACTTAAAATGCTTCCAGAGTGATTTTTTAAAACATTTAAAGTACTAGTCGTTGTTAAAAGGGAGGGCGACTGAAACTTAAGCTATTCTCTCATGTTTTCTCTGTGCAGCTGTTGTTTGAACCTGATATTCTGCTAACTATAAAACGAATTAAGCAAATTCTCTAATATGACGCTCACAGACATATCTGGATTCACACCCCTGAAGTCCTCCCTTGTATTAAACTGTTCTGGAGAAGATGATTAGGGCTTTTTAGATCACTGGGGAGAGTTTGCAGGAAATATGGCAAGCATTCCCTTCTTAATTGTATCTGCACAAAACTCCTTCCACAGCTGCAATGATAGTACTGGATATGACAACATTTATTACATTACGCAATGTGGTTTTCTTCTTACAAAACATCTTCGGAGAGTTTTGAATACTGTAGTTACCTTTTCAGACAACTTCCAGAACTCCTCAGTCACCACTTATCTTTAGTCCTTAGATCAGTGATCCTCAACCTTGGGCCTCCAGATGTTCTCGGACTTCAACTCCCAGAAATCCTGGCCAGCAGAGGTGGTGGTGAAAGCTTCTGGGAGTTGTAGTCCAAGAACATCTCGAGGCCAAGGTTGGGGACCGCTGCCTTAGATGACAACGTTTATTACATTACGCAATGTGGTTTTCTTCCTACAAAACATCTTCATAGAGTTTTGAACACTGTAGTTACCTTTTCAGACAACTTCCAGAACTCCTCAGTCACCATATTCTGGTAGTGAAGGCTGGTCCCTTCAAGGCACTGATCCACTAAAGTAAATAGACACAAATACTACATGGGAGTACCAGAAGCTGCTGCCTGTTGAAATGAGAGGAAAATGTGTTCATCCATTTCAGCAAAGATTTCACTAGATATGTTGTCATTATGGTTCTAGTTTACTATTATTAAAAAATACCAGGCACAGCCAATCAAGGTTATAAAAACATTGACTGCTATTACATAACAGATGCAAGTCTTAACCAAAAACCTAAGTATCTGTTAAATATCAGCACAGTATGTATGCTGTTCCCAATATTGCCATTTTTGTATTTCTGACTGTGTGATTTCTGAGATCTGCAACTGCTTCTAATACTGTGTGGAATTTCTTGATATTGTCCCCAAAGCCCCAATGACTACAAGGATGACTGAAGTGTGTTTCATCCACAGGAAAGATGTTCTGATTGCCAGATCTCTGTATTTTGTTAATTTTTCCGATTCTCTATTTTCAACTCTGGCATGCCTCGTGGCGCAGTGGTTAAAACGCTGTACTGCAGCTAAAACTGTGCTCACGACCTGGGGTTCAAATCCCAGGTAGCCGGCTCAAGGTCGACTCAGCCTTCTATCCTTCCGAGGTCAGTATAATGAGTACCCAGCTTGCTGGGGGGGGGGCAATGTGTACATTGCGAGATCTCTGTATTTTGTTAATTTTTCCAATTCTCTATTTTCAACTCTGGCATGCATTGGAAATGCAATGTCAATGGTCCAGACATTTCTTCATTCTATTACTACTATGTCTGGTGTGTTACATTCAAGATGTCTATCAGTTTGGATCTGAAAGGTGATGGTGGTGGCTGACAGGCATCTTGAAAGCAAAGCAGGTAAGATCAGTGTATTCATTTCACGAATCAGTGAGGAGTGATCTTCTCACAGCAACCAGACAGTGACATACATCATGTAGTAGGTCATCTTTTCTATAAAGGCATTCTCCTGAACAGAGATAGGCACAAACCTCCGAATAAGCCAATGTCTGCACAGGCGATCTCCGGTTTGGCGTCTTGTCCTCTCCACTTTTCTTTGTTAAAAAATGAATGGTCTATTCAGGAGAACTGCAGTCTCTGCTTCTGAACAATGTAGCCCCATGAGAACTTAAAACTCTAGCATCCCAACATGTACAAGAATTAAGTTTGCTATGGGGAGGGTACAGAAAGGTATCAGTGATGCAACTGTGGCAAGCAGATACATTTTGATATCATGATTATGCTGCCACAGTATAGGTGATTTGAGCAGCATGCTGATTTTAATGACAGCAGTGGCAAAGCTTCCCTCCCACTGCATACACAGTATGTTTAAAGGGATTACCAAGCTAGTTAAAAAACACAGAAACCAAGCTAACACAGAGAAAGCACAAATGCATATTAGAAAAAAAACATACATAAATACATAGGCATACCTGTTCTCTCAACACATACATACTGTACACATGTCATTATTATGGTAATCATTATTATCTAGGTCAGGGATGGGCAATTAATTTCTATAGGGGGCCAGATGAAAAATCTGAACTGTGTTCAAGGGTGGGTAGTAACAGGCCCCCAATTTGTGGGTAGTAATAGGCCCCCATTGGGTGATGCTCTGCGGTGAATGAACTACAAGCCTGACATAGTTAACTCCCTAAACTTTTTAGCGAGTTAACTATGTGAGTGTTGTAATTCATTCACCACGGGGGGGGGGGGGGGG